TCTTTTAAGTTCTCAAAGAGACTTGGGAGAGTAGATCTGAGATCATTATACTTTTTCTAGTGTCACAATTGTTCTATAGTTTCTTTCCTTTTAGTTATATATTGGTGTTGAAAATCTTTTTCTACATTTTTTTCAATTGTTTAGGTGATGTCTCATATTAATGTTCTCCACCGAAGATCTATCTGGATCTTTCTGGGGGTGATAGCAATTTAAAGTTTGGAAAGCTTTCAAAGGGTTCAGAGGCTTGCTTTCTATCATGCATTGCTGGTGCCCTGATAGTCAAAATCTTTATGTGCTTCATTTGCAAGAAACAACCAATTACTTACTTTTTGTGAAATTCTACTCGCTTGACTTCTATAACATTGCAATATTCTCATTTTTCATGTATTTCTCTAGCTGTTCTCTTTTTCCTTTGTGAACTTATCTTTCTTTGTCCAATCTTTAAACCTTGATTTGACCATTTACTCTCTATATCCACATATCTTTCCTGGGTGACCTCATCCACTGTCATAGTTTCAACAAACATCTCTTGCTGGTAGTCTCAAATCTATACATCTCTATTCAACAGCATTCCTCTGAACTTCAGATTATATACTTAACTTTCAAATCAACATCTCTGTTCACATAGTGCTTAGGCTCACCTCTCTACCAATCTCATTTCCACTTTTCCATTCTCGATTTCTTTACATGGCTTCACCAACACGATCATCTTCCTGGGTACTCAGCTTAGAAACTGGGGACTCATATTCTTCTCTCCCATCACATGCGTTCAGTCAAAAACCAAATTCTACCAACTTTATTTATTAATATTTATTAATTATACCTGAATCTGTATTTTTCATTCACCCTCATTTTTTTTTTTTACCACAGTCAGAACTTTTAATATTTTTTATGGATCATGCAATGGCTCCCTACCTCTTCTCCCTGCTTACAGTTGCATCTTTCTTCAATCCACCTGTAAACTTGACTGGGCCATTCTCTTACAAACTCTTCAGTGATTTCTCTTCTTTCTTCCATATCATGATACCCTGGATTTTTTTTTTTTTTTTTTTTTTTTTTTTTGAGACAGAGTCTCACTCTGTCACCCAGGCTGGAGTGTAGTGGCACAATCTCGGCTCACTGCAACCTTCACCTCCCGGGTTCAAGTGATTCTCCTGCCTCAGCCTCCTGAGTAGCTGGGATTGCAGGTGCCTGCCACCATGCCCAGCTAATTTTTGTATCTTTAGTAGAGGTGAGGTTTCACCATGTTGGCCAGGTTGGTCTCGAACTCCTGACTTCAAATAATCCACCCACCTCGGCCTCCCAAAGTGCTGGGATTACAGGCATGAGCAACAGTGCCTGGCCCCCTGGATCATCCTTGATTCACCCTTTGTCTGACCCTTCTGCTTCTCTAGGTACAGCTCTTATATCTTGTCACTTCTCACCACATGTTTTATTTTACTGTGACAAAATTCCTTCTTGTTTTCTTGGCATGCATGTACACACAGAGAAGCACATGCACCACCACCACCACTACCACCACCACCACCACCACCACCACCCTTATTCTGTTTTCTACATACTGTGACTTGGCTTATAATGTGCTTTTGGCATAGAGTCACCTTTTGTCCTCCTTCTTTTATCTTGACAACCTCCCACACATCTTTTGCTCACGGAATAAGCATCACTTACTCCAGGAAATAAAATCCAGGCTTTGTTAGGACGTCTCCACTCTGTTCCCTTAGACCATATACATGTTTCTATCATTTATCATGTTGTGTGCTAACGATCTGCTTTGCATCAGTCTTACCCCAGTAAATTGTGAACTCCTTGTGGTCAGCAATCACACTATTCAGTTTTGAAATCTCAGTTTTTTATATAGTCTGCCATGTGTTAGGTGTCCAGACCTTTACTGAATGAATACATTTAATAAAGAAACCAATAAATTCTACTATTTATTAATTCACAGTGACCATGTACTTGTTTGTGTTTCTTCCTCATTTAATTGAAACAATTTGGACATGTTTCATCAGTATAAAATTCATATAATTGACCACCAATATAAATTCATATAAAATTAACCATCAATAGAAATATGTCTAATCCATTTTAAGTTATTGCTTATGCAATCCATATAAATTTGTGTTTCAATTTTTGCAGTAATTTCAACCAAGGAAGTAAAGTTCAAATCCCCCAAAATATTAGGAAAGATGTTTACAGTCTTTTGAAAAAATATTCAAAGGGTGAAAGTCACAGGCCCTGATAACTCTCCATATACTATCCTTAACTTCCTCTTATCCTTCATTTCTCACATATCAAATTATTCTTATCTGCTAAACTCTCCTAAAATACTCTGTCAACAGACATCTCCGGGGCATTTTTCTTTATCCCCACTCCTCATTTATTTTTTATTTACACTGTCACTTAACAAGAGAATAATTCCTATTAAATAAGGTGGGGAAAGAGCATAAGCGAGTGCTCAAATACCAACTTCTCTTTAGCAGAAGGAGGCAGGGAATGTTTTGGACTATCTCATCCTGATGATTGCTGCCAAACACTTATGTGTGTGTGTTGTAACATTGCTCTCTTTGGATTATTGGTCAATTATTCTTTTATATTGTCACATAGAAGACACCTGTATGTGCATGTGCCCTTTTACTGGAGGTGACATTTGCATTTCCTCTTTAAAAAACAAACAAAAATCTGAATATGTAGTAAATTTGAAGAGGCCGTCGAACAAATACTATAAATTCAAGTGTGTTTAAAGCAGCCCTCTTGGTTTGTTGAAAGGAAAAATCTTGAACTCAGCACTTTGCTTTCTCTCTTGCAGTTGGTTTGTGATTAGCGTCTGTGTACTTTGTGCTTTTTGTATCAGCAACAGCTGTACACTGAGGCTCCTAGGGAAACCTCTTCAAAATAGCTTTGTTGCAAAAAGAAAATGGCATTTATGAACTTTGGCAGGAACTGTACTCTTGAGCCATGTTCAATTTTAAAACTTGAATGGAAAAATCCACTGCATGGAGAAGCCAGCCAGGCAGGATCATGAGCTGGATCTATTGTTAGAAGAAGAAGGAGGTGCCAACAGCTCAGAGGGCTCTGGGGGCTCTGAGAGCTTACGTACACTGAGTCCTGCAGGGGTCCTGGACAAGGCCACTTGGATGGGGGCCTAACCACAGCATTACACATGCTCAGGAAGAGGCAAAGGCGGAAATTTACCACTTGGCAAAGCGTCTTCACAAAACCAGACTTGGCTTTGTGGTAGCTTCCTTAGGTAATGGTTTCACAATTTTTCAAAAATAACTTCATTTTACTCATTCACTCACTAAGTCAGAATGTTTCTATTATTTGAGAGTTCTTGATAGAGGTGGAAGGTTCTACCTCAGTCAGGTCCTGAGAGCAGTGCCTGACTATCCCAGTCCTGTCACCTATATATGGTCAATGTGTTGTGTTCTTACTATTGTCTGGGGTGGTGTGAGAGTCTCGTTTTGCTCAGTTGTCAGTGCTGACAGCTGCTGAGAGCTGCTCAGCCAGCCACTTCTGAATTGCAGTAGGTGAGGTTTACAGGCTTCTGCCCCAGTAACAGTCAAACGTGCTAAAACAATGTCTGGCTCCGTGAGTAGTTATTTCTCAATACCTCAGTATTATGCTAAGTTACTTCACCACAGTTGTGCCAAGTCTTCTATTTTCATAGCCAGATACTTTGCAGGATGTGAGGCCCCAGCATGCCAGGGCTAGAGTGAATATTTGTGTCTGTCATGATTCAAGCTACCAGAGATTTTGCATGAATTAGAGAAGGGTCACTTTAGCCCGAGGGTGCTGCTCATGAGCCAAAAAGCTCTCACAGAAGCCAGAAGCTGTCTCTGAAAATCATGTCCAGCGCTTTCCTTACTATAATAGCCATTTTCGAAAGGTCTGTGTCCTAAAGGTCTTGCATCACTCTTATTGAGTGACTCTTTTAGTTTTTCACAAAAACTATTGCTTTTGGAGTATTGGACGGGGCAGCCAAAACTTGATAGCTCTTCTTTGCGCTCAGTCCGGTTCCAACCAGTGTAGCCCCTCAGCCTTGTCTTTCTCTACCCCATGGTGATTTAGTTTTCCAAGAGCCTTTTTATTTTTTTTCTTTCCATGTCACTTGGCCTGAATTGGAGCTACCCTAGCCACCATGATAGATCTCCTAAAGTCTAAATATCAGGAAGAAGAGGTCAGAGAATTTATTTGAGATTCTACTTCCTGGTAGGCACATAGGTTTGTGAAAATCCCTCCTTTTCCACATTTGATCTCCACATGGGAAGAGAAATGCTGGCTCTGTAAGTCAGACTGAAGGCCCTATCGCATCATTTCTACTGGAGAGGACTAACCAAGGGCCATTCAGGGATTCAAGGTGACCCACCTCTACAGTCAACTGGCAGTTTCTTCAGGTTAAAATAAACAAAAAGCTTAAAATCATTTAAGTATAGGGCACATAGCAATATAAACACGTATTCTATGATATTTCATGAAAAATAAAAAGGTTGATTTGGTCTCAATTTTTTTTTTTTTTGTATTGAGGACTAGTACTATGGTCTGTTGAGAAATATTATAAACTTTTCTTCAGGGAAGGTCTAAAAATAGAACACAATCTTACTAGCCTAGAAGGATTTTAGCATGGTTCTCTTCTAAGGCAAGTGAATGAAGGAGAATGAAGCTTCTGGGCCATTGTAATCAAGTGTTTTGTCTGCTTTTTAAAAGACCAGTCATTAATTGCTTAGGCGTGGTTTCTAAATCAGAAGATGTCAGAAAGTGAGCTCTCAGGATTTGGGTTCTGCTGCAAATATTGCAACAATCAGCAAATATTGCAATATGAATGAATCCCCCATAAGTTTACGGGAAAATTTTAACTTCTGAACTACTGTAATTACTTCGTAATTTATATACGGTTCCAATCACCAAAATAAATGAGTGCAAGGTATTCTCATGTATTGTAAGAGTTTAGTCGTGTTTACATTATTGCACAAAGATTATTATGTGTTTTTATTCGGCAGCCTCCACCTCAGATATATGACAAGCAGTTGGATGAAAGAGAACACACAATCGAAGAATGGAAAGGTAACTCTACTACTTAAAAATGTATACTTTTTATTTTATCGAACTCAGAAAGTATCACTAAAGCTTTGCTTGTAAAAACAATTTACTAAAAGATGATTTGCTGATTGCTATTCTCTTAGACCATTTTTAAAGCTCCTAAAACTTCATATGTCTTTTTATGCCAAAAGCAATGTTGTATTTGCTCAAGAATGAAAGGCATTTACCACTGATACCTTTTAAAATGGTACTGATTGTCAGTGTTTGTCATGGTGGGGGGCAAGCTTTAGCTCAGAATTCCAGAATAAAACTTTCTATGTTTGTACATAAAATCATCATATGAAACATGAAATTAAAATTAATTCTGAGATGGTATTAGACTTTAGAAAATAAAAGATAGTTAATATATGAGTTTACTCATTGGACTGATAAGACTTGAGAATTTAAATAGAAAATATGTGTATCTAAGTAGCCTATTTTTTTCTTTAACGTAAAAATTAGAATGAATGAATGCATTAATTCATTTTTCAGCAAAACTTTTCCAAACACATACTGCATTTTTAAGATTATACTCAGAGTAAAATAAAGCAGAAAAACAATTGACTTAAAAAGAATTGTTAAACTAATCTGAATCACTACAGAATAGAAAAATATGGGAAAGTCAAATGCAGATTGTAACAAATGATCAGATCAAAATGGGAAGAGCTGAAGGGAAGGAACATTTGAGTTACCTTGCAGGAATTAATAAGTGTAAATTAGGAAAAGAAAAATATTTAGAAAAGATCAGATAAAGGATTAAGAGGAAAACAAAGGATAGGAATAAGCAGAAAATGTTACAAAGATACTAAACAGGGCCAGGAGTGATGACTCACACCTGTAATCCCAGCAGTTTGGGAGGCTGAGGCTGGGGGATCACTTAAGCCCGGGAGTTCAGAACCAACCTAGACAACATAGGGAGACCCTGACTCTACCAGAAACATACAAAAATTAGCCGGGCATAGTGGCACACACCTGTAGTCCCACCTACTCAGGAGACTGAGGTGGGAGGATCACTTGAATCCAGGAAGTTGAGGCTGCAGTGAGCCATGATTGTGCCATTGTACTCAAGCCTGGGTGACAGAGAAAGTCTCTGTCTCTCTCTATATATATGTAAAATAAAAAAGAAAATAAAAAAATTTTGAAAGATACTAAAGAGATTCCACTGGTCAAGATATTCCAGGGTCATGTTGGTGAATATGGAAAAATGAACATATACATAAAGCAGATCAAGTGAAAAAAGATGCTGGGTATAGATGAAAAAGGCTTGCTTTCATCCAAGTAAGGACAGGAAGACACTCCTTAGGAGCTCATGAATAGGTGGGTGATAGGATATAACCATCATTTGAGGACATGGACTAAATTGTGAGAAATTGGGAGAAAGAAGTACCTGTAAAAGGTGATGATTATACAGATTATAAGCCATTGCAAAGCAAGAATGAGTAGAGCTGAATGATTTTTAGCTAAAAGGGACAAAGTAAACAGAACTGCAACTCTCCAATTTAACTCTAGCATTCAGAAAGCCAAAAATGGATGCCAGTCTGAGAGTAAATGAACCAAATTTTTTAATGTGTTTGGTTTTTGGCAAGTTTAGATTTACAAGTCCAAGATATGAGTGTGGAAAAAAAAACAGATGCAGTAAGAGATGGAAGTTGTAAAGATTGGTAAAAATTTAAAGTCATGAGAATATGTGCATTTCATAGGAAGTGAGTATAAAAGAAAAATGGATGTTCAAAGCCATAAAAATTGTTACTAGATGAAGCTTGAATGTATTAGTGGTTACCCCAAAGAATTCAGAAAACAAGTAAAACGTGTGTTTCTTGTTTCATGTATGTAGAAATAAATGTTATTCATGTAGAAATGTATGTAGAAATAAATAGTGTATATATAGAGAGAAATAAATAGTATGTTTCATGTACGTAGAAATAAATTTTCATGCATTGATTTCTTCAGCTGCTTTATTGGATACCTATGTGTACCAAGCTCTCTGCTAATTACAAGGCAATATAGAAATAGAAATAGAGCAGTAGAGGAATCTCAATTGATTTTTAATTTACTCAACCTTATCAAAACAGTATTATTTGCCATTAAGTAATGAATTTCCCTGTGGATGAAGGAGAAATTTGTTTTCTATAATAACACAGCTAACTGTTTCTTACAGAACTTATCTACAAGGAAGTAATGAACTCAGAAGAGAAGACTAAAAATGGCGTAGTAAAAGGACAGCCTTCTCCTTCAGGTACTCACTCTCTGTGAATAACCAATAAACTAGTACTTGTGTAATTTCTTGACCTTTTCGTAGGGGTTGCAACAAATAACATTGCTTGAAGAGCAGATGGAAAAATATCACATGGTTGTTTCCTTATAATGATTTTAGTTTTATTTCTTTTGATATTCAGTGTGGCATTCATTCTGATTATTCTGATTGTAATGATCCAGCACAAAAACTTTTTCATCAATCATTTTAAGATAGTAATGAATCCTGAAGAAAATGTTAACATGGGCTAAAGGGTAAATGCGCCTCATCAAAATTCAGAGCCATAATGCCCTTTTGACCGTCAAGTCAATGTGGAGATCAGGAATCCTTTCAGCCACAACCTCTTCCCTCATTCATTCTTAGTGTTTGAACTCTTCTCAAGGTTGATGTGACAATAGTTGAAACATCTACCAAGATGGACTCCAGTTAAAGTCAGCTTGGAAAATTTTTTGTTTGCTAGCTACAGAATCTAACACACAATTGTACATATGTATTTTTTACTGATCCTAGTAATGTGCTTTAGTACGACTTGAGACAATTTACTTATTAATGCTAATATGTTTTTTCCTAAGACCTATGCTCTCACTATAAAGAGTTTTAGAAAATGTGATGGTTTTTTTTTCAGCTTTAAAAAACTACATTCAACTCCTGCTAGCAAAAATATGGGCTACAAATGCCTAGTTTTGAGAAAAACTGATTAGGGTGTTGTTTTCCTAAGTTATTTTAGGAAAAAAGATGTAGGATGAAATAATTAATCAATTATTCATACAGATACTACTCTTTGAATAACTAATTTACACCCCAAACCAATATGATACCCAAACAGATGCAATTCGGTTATGACATGCTTTTCTCACCAGTGGGACTTGAAAAAATACTCAGTTTTATCCCAAGTTTTTCCTTTCCTCAAAGAAGGTTAAGGGAGTCACTGGAGTTGTTTTCCACACTGCCATCTCTACTCATTCACCCTAGCGTACAGATTGACACAGTCCGCAGAAGCTGCTTCACACTCATCCGCGTGTTCGGCCTGTTGCTCATTAAAAAACTAGAAGACAGAATCCAAAAGCCTCAAGATGCCACCTGCTGAGGCAGAACGATTCCTTGTTTTAAGAATTCCTATGATGACCAGAACATATTGTCATGTACTCATTAAGCAGCAGAAATAACAGAATTTAGCCACGGGTGACCTAGCACCTTAGGCTGGGCTGGGACAAATTTTAGTAGAGCCTATTCTATTCATCTTCAGTTCAAGTTATCATTACTTCATTTCCTTTTCATACCACCTTACCCCAAAAGACTTTTTATATCTTCCCAAAGAATAGGATCTTTCCTTTCTATAGATCCTACTAGTTGCTGTATGTTAAATATTTGACCTCTTGTCTTACATCCTTCATTGATTGTAATTTCATTGAGAAGACTGTATGCATTTATCTTTGTGTCCCATGTAGTGCCTGGGTGCTGTGCCTTGCACACAGTAGTAGCTCAATAAATATTTATTAATTTGAAAATTGCCACTCAATTTCTCCCTCAGAATATTTCTTGGTACTATTCCAAACACAAAATTCAAGACAAGATCATGTAACTTTAATACAGTATACTATTCAGCATGTTCTAACACCATTATTATAAATATTTATTTGCTCTATTAATCTCCATGAAGATAAACAGGCCAAGCATCAAGTATATAAATTCTTGCTATTGGCATTTTTTCATGCTGCACATAAAGGTTTGCAGTTTTCAGGTATTTGATTTATTCATTTTGGGAAATACATATTCATATTTTTTTGCAGGCCTGCTTAGTGTGTTAGTGATTAATTCTAAAATGTGCAACTTATACTCTACTTGAGTGAGAAGGCTAAGCCACTTTTTAACCATTCCAACTACCTTAACAATTAAAAATTATTGCCCTAAACTATAGTTGACTGGCTTAACGAATTTATAGTTAAAATGATTGTGGATTCAATCTAGGAACAATATTCATGACTTCGTTATAAGTCACGTAGTATGACTTTCTCTTTTGTGAGAAATTATATGTATACTACACTTTATACGATGCATTTCTGTATGATATATTTATGTGCATGATGGAGAGGCTCTGGGGCAGCCATGTGCTGGCGCTGACTCTACCAGCTCATGATGGCCAATTCTGTACCTCTCTTTCCAACTATGCATTTATTGTTGGTGTGTTGTCAGCATGAAATCAGCCACGGAGGATTTACAACATGAAAATTGGCAGACCCTACAAATCAGGGTGTTTTTGTTGCCCCCTGCAGAGCCAATTGTTAAATTTTTATTGGCACACCACTGTGTGTGTGCGTTTTTGTGTGTGTAATAAACCACGCTGGAAAGAAAAAGCAATTACTAAAAAAAGTTTGAAAAGTCAGCTTTTTTGCATTGTTCATTATATTCAGCTTTTTTTTCATTAATGTTCATGTAGTATATTTTATTTTGAAAATACCTAGGGTGAAGTATTTTTATACTACAGACTCTGTTAGTATTCAGTCATGACAATACTGGGAATTCTGCAGCAAGGGAATAAGTTAAAGCAGTATCTCAGGGGCCAAATGCTTCTAATATTGACACTCATGTTATGTGATGCTTTTCAAATGTAAATAGGAAGTTAAATGTGCATTTGCAGAATAATTTATAGGTTTTAAATTTATTGATGGAATTGTTGTATGTCAATAAGAGATAAATTTAAACTTCAGATACATTTCTAAATAAATAATTGTACTCCCTTCTGTTATCTGATTTCACTTGCATAGTAATTTATTTTCAAGGATGGCATAGCTGCTTGCTTGCTGAATTGATCTGTAACAATTGTTGAGGGACTGGCAGTCCATGAATAGAAATTAATTTTCTTCTAAAAGCATTTGTTATAGGATGTTAGAGCTAGAACAATAGGAGAGCATCTGATTCACCAATGCTCAGTTTGTTCACCAGCCCTCTTCCACCTGAGAAGTAAAGCTCCCAAAACTAACAGTGACTCACTAAGATAAGGATGCTGAACATCAGGATGGGCAGAGATTTTCCAAAATCTCTAAGTCAAAGATAAAGCTTCTGGGTGATTTAAATATGCAACTGTTTCCTCCCCAATGTGGACCACATTCCCCACCATGGGAATATGTCTTAGGGTCACTAATCTAGTCCATTAATTTTATTTACTTTTTATTTAAAAATCTCAGGCCCAGACAAATTGTGGCTCAAGATCATGTAGATAAAAAAGGCACTATTTTTTTCATTCTTGTGCTTTTTCTCGTTCTGTGTCTACTATACATTTTTTGCTGTTGTTGGCAGTGGGGGGTATCAGGAAAATCATTTCCTTTAAAAAAAAAGTGGAACAACATTTTCCACCATAACAATGTTTTTTGGTTAAATAACTCCTAGCTGAGAAATTTTCTTTAGCATACGTTACTTCTTTCTATGAAATTTGATTTTTTAGGTAAAGTTGAAGGTAGCTAATATTCCTCGTTTGCAACCCTATTGGCATTTTCGGTTCCTTTTAATGCCATTTTTATTGACAAAAATTTGTAATGCTTTATTGATGGCAAAACATTTTTGAAAATGTATATCTCTACTGTTTTCTCTTAAGTAATACAGAAAGAAGAGATATTTATCACATTGGACAACTGAACACTATGATCAGATTCAATTCAGTTCAATTCTGTTTAAGATATTTTCGCAAACTGCTTGGCAGCAATTTAACAACTTAAAGCCAAGTCCCATGTCTTGTCCCTTATATTTGTTTTGGGTTTATGTTTTACAAGGCCTGTTTATTGCCTACATGAAAATAGACTTGAATGGATCATCCAGTAAAGCCAGAAGTGGCTGCAGGCAAGGAGGCATTTATTATAGTGTAATAGAGGGAGACATACAGAAGCAAATAGTTTTCCTGTAATAGTGGTGGACTGGTTAACATTTAACAACTATATTTAAAAAAATAATTGAGGAGTAGCACTTAAGATTAACACTTAACAACTATATTTAAAAATAGAATCGACGAGTAGTACTTAACAATTTCTGTGGTATAAATATTCTCACTGTGACCAATTTTAAGCAACAATGTAACATCAATGGGTGCAGAGTTGGAAAGAGATGTTAATAATTGGTTCTAAGAAGCCACTGAAAGCCAGCTCCAGCACACCATAGACAGTGCACATTTTTCTCCCACCATCACACTGTATAGCAAGGAACCATTCCCATGAAACAAGCAGATGTCATGGGAATTTTTACAACTGAAGTACTGACGACCTCTCTTAATGAATTGGTGCCATATAAAATCAGAAGCAATAGTCTATGGAACCCTAGAAATACAGCTGATAAAGACTTTGATAGATTCTGAACTTTGAGTAGTTGAACACTAATTATAATTTGCATTCAACATTGATAAACTGGAGGGCAGGGCCATTCCAACACAGAAGATAGGAATTAGAGAGAACCAGCTGATGAACAAAAGGAGAAGAAAGACAACTGCAACAAAATGATTTCCTTTGGCCACAAATAGCTTAACAGTTTCACTAGTTCGAAAGCAAGAAGGAACTTGCTTTTCCTCACAGAACCTGTCTAGAAGAGTACACATAAAAGATACTCAATACTGTTTTGTTAACTCGAGTACTTACTCTGTGCTACTACTCAGCAGTAGACACTGGAAGACAGGAGAAACAAAGAAGTATAATGAAAGAAGTAAAAGGAAGCAGGGGAAATATATACTTGAGGTAATCTATAACAAAACTACATATAATAAAGGACTGACTGGTATGGCATAACATTCAGAATATTCCAGAAGTGTGCTGAAAATATGCTGATTTTGAAAATAAGTGCAGTAGGAGTGCTGTGTGTTTTATAAGCATAGCCTGCAGCATGATCCCCTATTTATAAAGAGCTTATTAAAAGCTACTCTGACTTTTGCCACATTCATTCAATATTATTCATAGATATAAATTTGTGTTTTGCTGCTGGGGAAATTTCCTCAGTGCTCTTTG